GGACAAAAATAAATAAGCAAATCAAACTTAGAAGGAACATACTTCAACACAATCAAGGTAATATATGTAAATCTGCAGCCAGCATCACAGTGAATACGGCAAAAACTGGAAATATTTCCATTAAGATCCAGAACCAGATAAGGATGCCTGCTCTCATTATTACTATCTAATATAGTCCTGAAATTACTAGGCAAAAAAAAAAAAAAAAAAGAAAAAAAAAAGAAATCAATGGGATATACTTTGGAAAGGAGGAAGTGAAATAATTCCTGTTTGAAGATGCCATGATTCAATATATAGGGGAACCAAAAGACTTCATGGAGGGACTACTGGACCTTCTAAGAGACTCAGGAAGTGTGGTAGGATATAAAATCAGCACACAAACATCAATAACATCTATATACACAAAGTTATGGCTGAGAAAGAACTGTAACAGCACTCTCATTCACAACAGTCAAAAACACTTAAATAGCTTGGGATAAATTGAACCAAGGATGCAAAAGAGCTTTACCATAAAAAAAAATTAATGAAGACACATACACACAAAAGAGAAATATTCTATGTTCATGGGTTGGAAGAATTAATGTCAAAATGCACACTACCCAAAGCAATTTATAAGTAGATTCTTGTTTCTAGAAAAAAATGACTGTAAAATTTACATGGCATCAAAAGAGACCCTGAATAGCTAAAGCAATGTCAAATAATTAAAACATATTCAGGGAGTTATAATAAAAACAGCATGGTATGGGCATAAAAATTGACTTTGTAGACCAAGGAACAGATTAAAAGTCTCATAAAGTAATCTGCATATCCACAGCCAAATAATATTTGACAAATGGGCTAAAATCAATTCCTAGACACTGAATATTATCTTCAGTTAAATGAGTTGGGAAAACTGGGTCTCTGCATACAGAAGTATGAACCAGGATCCCATCCTTATATCATACCCAAAATTCAACTCATAATGGATCAAGGATCTAAACCTAAAACCTGAATCCATCAAATTACTGGAGACAAACATAGGGAAACTTTGCAAGACACCAGCATGGAAAACCACTTCCTGGTTAATACTGCAGCAGATTACATCAAATGAAGAAGCTTCTGTACAGCAAAGAAAATGCTCAACAAAGTCAAGAGGAAACTGACAGAACTGGGAAAATATGTGCAAATGCCACATCTGATAAAGGATTAATAGCCAGAATATAAGCAGTGGATGAAACTCAACAACAAAAAAGTACTTCAAAATGTGCGAAGCATGTCAATAGGCATTTTTCAAAGGAAGAAATGCAAATGGCCAACAGATACATGACAAGATGCTCAGGATCACCAGCCATCAGGAAAATGCAAATAAAAGCCACAATGAGTTTCTTATCACCCTGTAAGAGTGGCTATCATCTAAATATCAAAGAATAACAAATACTGCTGAGAATGTGGAGAAAAACATACCACAATACAGTGTCAGTAGGAATTTAAGCTAAAGCAACCACTGTGGAAGACAGATTTCTCAGAAATCTGTAAATGGAACAATCATATTACATAGCCACTACACTCCTGGGAATTTACTCAAAGGAAATGAAACCAGAATATGAGAGTTATCTGCATCCAACATTTATAGCAGCTCAACTCACATATGCCCATCAACTGATGAATGGATAAAGAAATTATATAAATAAATATATACACACAGTAGAGTACTATAGTCATAAAAAAGAATAGCACCCTGTCTTTCTCAGCAACATGGATGTAACTGGAGACCAATGCATTTAGTGAAACAAGTCCTCAAAAGGCCAATATCATATTTTCCCTGATATGTAGTAACTAACATAAGGAGAAATGTATATGAGCACAATCGACATTTTGAGATTTGGCTTGTTGTTTGTAGCCCTTGTCTATATTCTTGAGGAACAGTTTTCTACTTAATACTTGTTTAGATCTTTATTTAGTTGAGGGTTAAGCTTGTGACTGTTGAAAAAACTGAAAGTATGACATGGTAAAATTCAAAAATCAGAGCCCGGCGTGGTGGCCTAGCAGCTAAAGTCCTTGTCTTGTATGCGCCAGGATCCCATATGAGCACCAGTTCTAATCCTGGCAGCTCCACATCCCATCCAGCTCCCTGCTTGTGGCCTGCGAAAGCAGTTGAGGACAGCCCAAAGCCTTGGGACCCTGCACCCACATGGGAGACCCGGAGGAAGTTCCTGGCTCCTGGTTCGGATGGGCATAGTATCGGCTGTTGCGCTCACTTGGGGAGTGAATCATCGGACGGAAGATCTTCCTCTCTGTCTCTCCTCCTCTCTGTGTATCTGACTTTGTAATGAAAATAAAATAAACCTTTAAAAAATTCAAAAATCAAAGAAGAAAAGGAGATGGGAGGGTTAGAATGCAGAAAGGAGGAAGAGAGGGTACGACAGTTAGTATCTTTATGCTGTGAAAACCCTCTAAAATGTAGGAACTCAAAGGAAAACAAGAAAAGAAAGAGAGGGAAGGGTGGGAGGTCAGCGAGGAAGGCAGGGTAAGGTGGGAAGTAGCATTATACTCTTAGAACTGTATAAATGAAACACACGAAATTTGCTTCCTTTATATAAACAAAAAACAAATACATGCTATAATAGAAGACAACAACAAAGAAGAGTAAGCATAAGGTCATGGTGACCATACCTAGAAAAAGGGTAGCAGGTTTAGAAACAAGAGATTTTTAGCTGACAGAATTTAGAAAGTAGAACAGGAATCCAGATGACTCCTCAGCTGAAATGGACAAATCTCTGGAAACAAAACAAAACAAAACAAACAAAAAAAACCTACCAAGGCAAAATCCTAAAGAAACTGTTAATCTGAATAGACCAATAATTAGCAAGGAGACCGAATTATTCATCAACAATTTTCCAATGACAAAAAAAATGCTGGACCAAATGGCTTCACTGGTGAATCCTACCAAACATTTAAAGAACTAACACACAAATCCTTCTCTAACTTTTCCAAAAAAAATGAAAGAGACGGGAACACTTAAATCATCCCATGAAGCAAGCACCTCACAGATAAAGGCCAGATGGATACTATAGGGAAAAGATACTAAAAGAACAGTATCCTTCATGACATTGACACAATACTGAATAAATAACTAGAAACTGAACTAAACAGTACATTGAAAAGCACATACACATCATGGACAATTGGGTTTTATTACTGGAATGTAACAAAGATTCAACATAGGAAAATTTATTATTATTATACAGATAATTAAAGCAGAATAAAGGCAAACACACATATGGACATTTTAATTGAAAGATAACCTACTTTACTCTAAGTGGGGGTGTAGTCTAGCACAACCACTATGAGAAACAGTATGGACAGTACAAAAAGAACTAAATATTGATCTGTTATATAACCCAGCTATCTCACTTCTGGTAATATACCCAAAGGAAATCAAATCTGCATATAAGAAAGTGATCTGTGATCCTATATTTACAGCAACACAATCCACAATAGCAAAGACAAGAAAACAACCCAGGTGTTACGTGAAAGAGAAGTGGATAAGGAAACTGTGGTACATCTACTCTGTGGAATACTACTCAGCCATTCAAAAGAATGAAATTATGACATTTGCAACAAAATGATCTCAACTAGAGACCTTATGCTCAGTCAAGTAACAGAATCCCAAAAGAATAAATATGATATCTTCTGACAGAAGACAACCTTCGTGCAAAATACAAGATCAATAGGTATATATTTGTATATATTTAGAAGATCTGTATAATGGAGGCAAATATACCATGGAGACATTTTGCAGTATTTATCTCTACTGCTGAATAAAAGATGAACTCCCAATGAAACTGTTAAATACATCTTGACACGAGAATGCTGGAATTCATACCATTCTCTATACCTAGAATATCAGGATACACTTAAATAGAAGAATGACAGATTTGTGATTGTTGTTGAGGGACTAAATCATTGTTTCAATATAGGGGGAAATTGGGGGGAAAGGTATGGGGGAGGAGGGGAAGCGAAATCCCTGGGTCTAACAAACTGTATCATGAAAAGTAAAGAATTTTAAAAGTACCTAAAAAAACTCAAAACCATTTCATGATTTAAAAAAATCTTAACTGGAACAGAAATTATGTCAACATGAAAGCAACTGAAAGTAAATATATTCAATGGCAAAAGACTGGCAGCATTTTCTCTATAATAATAATAATAAAACAAAAACAAAACAAAGTAATAAGAATAAGGTTTTGGCCACTTATTTTCAACAAAGCACTGGGATTCTTAGCTATAACATGAAGGCAAGAGAAAGAAATAAAACATCTGAATTGGAAGGAAAGTACAATGATCTGTATTTGCACATAATGCAATATTATATACGCAAAACACTAAATATTACTCAAAAATTCATTAGAACCAACAACTAAATTCAACAAAGTAAAGAGATATAAACTCACAAAACTACATTACATTAAATAATTGAAATTAGCAGCTAAAGTTAAAATTTTTAGGTATATCAAGAAGGGAAAACACTTAAAAATTATTGAAATCACTGACACACACATATATATATACATATATGCTGTGTAAATTTTCTATAATTCCAATTTTTAAATTTGTCTTCATATCATGGTAGTATGAAATGATCCTTCACATAATTCTTAAATCTGTGGGGATAAGTTTGGTGACCTAACATCATGTCCCATGTACTGATACACTTTAAACTTCCATATGCTTTTGTTTCACTGTTAGCATGCTATTCCGCTTTTGGCAATAAGTCTCTCTGCTTCTTCCAATAAAGTCTTTCTCTACTTGCAAATGGTAGTAAAAACAGATATTACGATTACATAAAACAAAAAGCAAAACTTACCACCTGGAGAAATATGTCAGAAAAAAATTCCCTAATTGTATAACCAAATAGATACAAAGACTTTCTGAAATATTTGCATGAATATAAAACACGTTAAAAAAATGCATTGAAAGGGCATGGCCACAATAGTGATAATAGTAATAAAATCACTTACCAAATCCGTCTTTGGAGGATCTGGACAGTCAACCGAGAAGTAAGGTGCTGAGCTTCTGACTGCACTGCTGTCACAAGTGGGCTTTGGAGGCTGAGCATGCTGTCTAAAAGTAGCACTTTTAGGAGTCCAGCAAAATAAGTTGATTGATTCTCGCACACAGCGTTCAATGTCAATTTCTAGATAGAGAGATTGGAAAACAGAATTTGGATTGCCTTGCTAGTGTAAAAAACAGTATCTTTCCTAAATGTATTTATTCAAATATAGCTAATATGACAACTAATTAGAAAATGTTACTAGAAAAACAACAGACATTAATCAATACATTTATAAGAAAAAACAGTGAAGGGATAAATGGCATTATATGCATGTTTACATAAATATATGCTATGCTTTTTGTGTGCATATTTGACATTTTATTTAATATACTCATATACAAAAGGTTATTTCAGTATATCACTATTCAAACAACATAAAATATAATACAGTTCCTTATTTTAAAATCTGCCGTATTTGCAGTGATGATGTTTTCAATTGTCCAAAATTAAACAGAGATGGTAGGCAGGAGGCTAGAATAATTTGGGATCACAACTTCCTCCAGGAAAGTGTACTGAGACTTTATTTGCTACTTATTACATAAGATATAAAATAACCAGGGAAAATTTGTCAACATCTCAAATCAGGCACTCTTCCTTTATAATTTCTTCAGTTATTTGCAGAAAAGCTTTAAGAAGGTCTTATGCGGAGATTAAAGATACTTGATTAAATACTTTTTAAAATAAACTATTCAATAGGAACACTTTCTTTCTCAGAAGTTAAATCTAAGCATCTTTGAAGATGTTTGGTTATGACAACTCAAAAACAACTTTTACATTTGACAATATATAGCTTTTTAGAAGGTCAGAATTCCTGATGAAGAATTAGTCATTCTTGTGTGGAGAAAGTATAGCATTCCCACAGAAGCAGCAGAAATCAAGGAGCTGACTGGAGTGAAGGAGCTGAGCAATGGTGAGCTTTTCCTTCTTCATTCCTACAGCCAGCAAAGAGCAAATATTGTTCCCTTCTCTGTTCAAGTCCAGTGTCAGTGCAGATGAACAGTAAAAAAAAAAAATGTATAAAATGTATTACAGGATAAATATTCTCTGTATGTCTCTCAATAGAAGAAAAGGAAAAAGGCATTATGTAAAGTCCATGGATTGTGCATACATCATAAATTAAAAGCTGCCTTCTACTGTAGGGTAGATCATCTTTGGAGAAGCAACAACAAGCAAAGCAAAACAAAACAAACAAAACAAAAACTCATTTGTTGAACACATTAGGTGGTAGGCATTGTATACTTGTACAGTTTACACAATGATTCTTCAACAAAAATGTTATAATTTTCCTCTCTGCCCCTCATCATATCTTAAAAACTAGGGCTAAGGATGCTACCCTACCAAGAGTGAAATGTCAGAAGTTACTAACACGTTATAAGGCATCTTTTGTATTTCCCAATTCATTCTAGATTTGGAATAGGGCCTGTGAGCCTGGAAACACCAGTTACTCAATTAAGCATTCTTTTGCCTGTTATTGAGGATATTTGCCAAGTTCACAGCTGAGTTCTTTCATGCATACACAAGAAGGTTAGATTTCATCTTTCCATATGTTCCTAATAAATAAACTATACATATAGTTAGACAAATTTTGAGACAGTTTTATTTATTTGAGCCATGGTCAAGATAAGAAATGTATTTTTGAAAGTACTCCAAGGCACCTCAGCTTGACATTCCCAAAGAGAACTGTGAAAGTACCAACTAGAAGGAATATCAGTTTAAGACACTTCTACACTGCTTTGAAAAAAAAAAAAAAAGAGAGAAGCTGATTTATTCCAGGGAACTTTCAATTAAAACAGTTATGATAAAGATTTGGTAGTTAAAGAGGGAACTTTTTCAGATATCTAAAGCTTGTCTATTTAATACTTTTGAATCAAAACACAAAAAGAATTCAGAATAAAGATTTTGCATCTCCAGTACTCAAACCAGTTTGAAATGTCTGTCACCCAGCAAAAGGCTGAAGTTAACAGTGATCTATATGACTTCAGTCCAAATAGTCCTTAAAACAGAATTTAAAACAAATTGGAAAAGAAAATGTCTATTTGTATCTGACACCAACATATCCCGCAAATACTATAAAAAGGAAATCTTGAGAAGTTCCTGGCATTCATCCTGATCCCACGCCAGTTGTTAGTATTGAACTCTCACTCACCTCACCAGCTCAAAATACTTCCAAAGCACATCAACATATGAAAATTTAATTCAAGAGTTCTTTATGTACTGTACATTAAAATGCAAAATTACTTTTACAAAGAAATATTTCCTGAAATGGCACTTTTACCTTGTGTATCTCCTATTTCCATTTGGAGTTAATAGGTAGAATAGTTCTCTCTCCTGAAGTCCTCTCTTCTTCGGCTCTACTGATATAGAGATCTACTGAGAGGCACAGTCTCTTCACTGGCCCTTGGGTTCCCTCCTGCATTTGAGCCTTAAATGTTCTACCTTCCAGGATCAAGGAATAGCTGTTTTGGTCTTTGTTAACTAAAATTAATCCTGATTGTCACAAGTGGGGAGCTGAATGGGAAGCAACTGGGATACAAACTGGCATACACATGGGGTCCCCGCACAGGCAAAGTGAGGACATAGCCAATGAGCCATTGTGCCAGGCCCTGGAATATCTTGATTTACAAAGGAAATTTAACCGATATTTGGGCAATATGAATGAAGCATTTACTTACCCCTTATAGTCTGATCATATTGTCAACAATATTATTGTTTAATGTCATCCTTTGTCCAAGATAATTAGCTATTTTATCTTATGAATTAGGTAGGGAATAAGTAACCACATAACTATTAAAGATAAGCCAAGAACAGATAAAACTCTCATATTTGTTGAACCAAAGCAGTGGTTGCTACTCAAGCACTGAGAACTGAGTAGCAGATTGCATTAGGAATTTTCTGAGTAATAAAAATAGTCTACATCTTTGATGAAATGTTAGTTATGGTGATATGTATAAATGCCAAAATGTTGAGAGGGAGGGAGAGAAGCTGAATTCTCTAGGACCTATACATATCATTGTTCATAAAGTTTGCTTAAATTAAAAATGCTTAAATATTGAAACAGGAAAGAAAAGAAAGCATGGAGTTTATGTATCTTCCTGTGAAATGTGTGTTAGTGTGAAATTTACAACTAGAACAGATTGGTGAAGTTAGGATTGGAGTTGTAGTCATATTAGTTGTTAAAATATATACCATGACTTAGAACATAGAATAGTTGAATAATTTGTGTTAATATCCAAAACTATAGAATGATATACATCCTGTTAATAATCCACTGGTCTCGAAACTAGAGACCATTATGCTCTGTGAAATAAGCCAATTCAAAAAGGAAAAATATCATATGTTGTCTCTGATAGAAGGAACCTTTACACAAAATACAGGATCAATAGAGGTTCGGGGAAACATGGTTATACATATATTCATCTAGAAGAACTGAATAATGGAGACTAGCACACTGACAAGTGAAGATATGTTGTATAACTCTACTCCCAAATAAAAGATGGACTACCAATGAAACTGGCAAACACATCTTGACAATAAAATGCTGGACTTCCCAACATTGTCTATACCTACAATGTCATGATACACTTAAATGGCAGAATGATGGACTTGTGTGACTGTTGATGAAGGCCTATGCTATTGTAATAATATAGGAGAAATCACAGGGGGTGGTGAGGAACTGTATCGTGAAATAAAAATTAAGAGAATTTGTTCAAGGAAGATAGTGAAAATAGGTTTTTTTTACACTTGATCTTAGCGAAAAGTCTGAGAAGCAATAGTTTTGGTATTTATGCAGCATGTAATTATTCCCACAATAATTCTATGGACTCACTGCTGAACAAACATAAAATGTAAATCTGCTTATCTCATTAGCAGAGAATGAGGTGAATGAAATAAAACATGCCTACCTCAAAAAGATAAATTCTAAGACCAGTATTTCTATTACCATTTAATGTGCTGAGATGACATGACGTATAGATAGTAAACAGATTCTAGATCTTCCAAAGACTCAAAAAATTAGATACTCTGATCCACATTCATGAACTGTTTGTCTTGATAAGGTATAGAGTCCTAAATCATTAGTAATGTCCAGGACTCTGTTGTGGAGTGTATTTTGTTAAAGAGCTAAATGCAATAGGCACTTTTAGTACACCGTCAACTTTATCCTTACATAACTTCTGTTTTTAAATTGTTTAGATTCATAGCATATTATAGGTGTATAAGCAATCTTCCATACTAAAGCCAGAACTGCTTCTTTAAGACATACACAATCATGTAGTTTTTCCATTTATAATTTTCTAATTGCAAAGAGAATAAAAACCAAATTACCTAATGTGTCATTCAAGCCCCCCGGAAATCAGCATTTTGCTTACTTGGCCACCAATTTTATCACCACCTCCAGCATTATTACTTTCTAGCCACTCCACCTCTGTACTTCTCATCTACCCTCTGGTTGATAAGTACACTACTTACATTAAGATATATATGTAGCTTCAACACTTCTCTGTGTTGCTGTTTTGCTATTTTTAAAGATCCAGTGTTTGCTCCTCATCCTACAAGATGGTTCTCATCTTTGCTGTGCATGCTATGTAGTAATGTTTACTAAACAAATGTTTAATGAGTAAACTTACAGATCCTGGGGTCTAATAAAAAGTGGTCAAGACCAAATGCCAGCCAGTTCACCCACATTTAGATGCTTCATAGCTTGAAAACACTAAAACAAAGCCTGTAAGTTTTTCACTGCAAAATGCTTTGGTGCATTTCCCAAAAGCAATGTGCTATGTTCTTGCTTTCCTAGTTTTAACTTGGTATTTTTCATAAGCCCCTACTTATAAGAAGCTGGCCTTTCTTGATGGTATATATAATCTCTGTAATATTTCTGCATTGTTTTCCTTTGGTGTTCCTATACATTTACTTATTTTATGAAGCTTAAACATCATGAGTATCACAAGAAATCCTTTCAGGCTCTAGGCAGTTTTTGGGGGGAAATAGGCCGTGTTAAACATGCTCATAGCCCTTTACTCTTCTTTGCAAGTCTTGCCCTCAAAGTAAACTCTACCAGAGCCCAAGCTACGAGAAGCTAAACA